ATAATAATAATATCAGCTGTGACTTCCATCATAGAGCAGAAAGAAAAGAGCAGAAGTTATGGGATCAATCCTGTGTCTGCAGGAACTGAATTTGAATTGTTCAGATTGAATCTGAATGTGAATAATTTGAAATTGAATGAGTTGGTTTGAAAATGAATTTCTCTAAATTGAAACTGATTTGTATCTGAATTAATTTTCTTTGAAACTGTTTTTTGGTTTATTAAAAATTCAGTTTGACTACTTTCACTTTCAGTTCCATAATTCAGATTTTTGTGTCACATCCTGGTCCTTGAGAAAGCCAGGCAGAGTAATCAAACACAGATCCACAGATTTATGTTTCACTTTGATGAATTTTCCCTTCTGTGTGTAACAGAGTTGATGCAATCCACTGTAAAAGTGACAAAAACAAAGTTTTTTTTATTGCAGTGATTATTTTTACCTGTATGTAGAAAATGTTACATTTACATCACATCTTGGATCATATATTGGTCAGATGCTGCTGCTGACTGATCCATCCACTTTGACACAAAAATCTGAATTATGGAACTGACAGTGAAAGTAGTCAAACTGAATTTTTAATAAACCAAAATACAGTTTCAAAGCAAATTAATTCAGATACAAAACTTCAGTTTCAATTTAGTAAAATTCATTTTCAAACCAATGCATTCAATTTCAAATTATGCACATTCAGATTAAATCTGAGCAATTCAGATTCAGTTCCTGCTGGCACAAGATTTATCCCAAAGTTTGGCTCAGAAAAGATAAGACACATTTCTGGATGGTGTTCATATTTGGCTTTCTTTGTGCATGACAGAGTTTGAAACAGCACAGTAATCTGTGTTTACATTTGTGGAAGTGTCCCTGAGCCTATGCAGTGTTGTCCAGTAAAATTACAGAATTTCTTCAGAAAAACTGTACAATTTTGATATGTTTGTTGTGTTCCAATAACATATGGTTTTCTGAGATTTACAAATCTTTACATTTTGTTTTGATCGATATTTTATACCAGAGATTCTTAACCTATGGGCCGCGGCCCAATTGTAGGCCATGAGTGCCACCTTGAGGGCCTCAAAAGAACAACCGTTTTTAACTTCGGGCCGCAGAGGGCTGAGGAACCTTATTGATTTTGAATTAGGTGCAATACACTTTCTCACCACTAGTAGCAGTAGTGCACCACTCAGATGTTTAACAACTTTTTTTAATAAGTAGAAGAAGAACCTTAGAAACCTGCCGAGAGTGGAAACCTATTTTAAATGAAAAGTAGAATAAAAAATGAAAGTAACACGACAAAAAACACCAAAGTTCTTCATTAATATGAAGGGCAGCTTCTGTTTTAAAAGTTCACAACATTATCAAACACAATTGCAAGTACAAATATATTTTAATTTGCACTTTATCAAATTTATTTTTGTAGTTTATTTTTAAACATTTTGAATGTATTTTAAAGAAATTTTAAACTTGTCAAAAAGCTGTTGTTATTGT